CTTATGTCTAGGTAAACTTATGCTATGCTATATCACAATGGCGGGATTTGTAAGCCGCGACCGGTAGTCCATACCCTTAACCACTTCAAATTTGACTTATTAGTTAAAAAAAAAAACATGTATATTGTTCAAACACGTCGTTTGGCTATAACTAGTAATACGCGTCAGGCTCAAGAATCGTCCATGTACTCCGCAACCTCTGAGATCCGATATTACAGCATTTCAACGACCATAAAATTAAAATTCTATGTTAATGTTTGTTTTATTTTGCAGCAAGCCGCGCTTATGGACAACATCCTCGGCGTGGACATGGGAAACTTTTCACACGTCAGGAACAATGTACCGCTAAGTTCCGCGGGGGGCGCAGACTCCCCGTCAACAAGTGACCCTGTAGACGGTCTCTCCCCATCCACTCCGCTCTCTATCTCACCCCCACTCCCATCATTGGGCCTCGATGGCAATGGGGAGGCTGCCATGGCTGTCATCATGAGCCTTCTAGAAGCCGATGCAGGTCTTGGAGGTCCCGTAAATTTCTCTGGACTCCCTTGGCCCTTACCGTAAAAGCATTAATTTTTGAATATGAAATCTTCGGTAAAAGAATTTATTCTTACGAACATAAAATGGTTGGATACAAATATTATTCTATTTTGGATGTGAAATACTATCTGTTTCTATACGACTCTTACCGATTCAATGCGTTATATCTAATATACATTTATTAACTGTATTAAACTATTATTACCTTTGTGATACATTAATTTAAATGCTTATAAAGTATTCTATCTAAATATACAAACGGGAGATATGGCATTGACACAAGTATCTTTGTAAGATAAAAATGGTGACAAACCACAATAACTTCAGGGATCTATAAATAATGCGGTGTCTGTTATACTGTTTAAGCTTTAACTAATGTCGTCAGCAATAAACCCATTTCTACATGTTAGTTTGGGACACCTTTTAAGTTCTGTTAGTACAAAACAATTAGAACCTTACAGTATTTAATATTATTGAGTACATCAAATAAATAGGTAGTTATTTTTTTTTGTCGGACACAATTATAACCTTTTTGCTCTCCAAAGTAGTAAAATTGAGTTATTTCAAAGCTTAAAAAATTCAAAATAACACTACATTAATTATAATAGATTTATATTGATATCCGCAAATGTAACATTTAAATATTAAAACTTTAAATTCAAAACTAGCAAAAATATCTAAACAACAAAACTTAAAAAGTGATTGTTGTCTATATTTTGCGTTAGTACTTTAAGTTTATAGTTGTTTTGTCTATTTTTTTTAAATCAGAGCTTTATGATATAGTTTATTAATGTTGAATAGTTTAAGTAATTTTTTTTGTTATTTTTCTTAGAGAAATAAAACTTCTTTTAGTTGTTTATAAACGTTTAGGAGACGAACATTTATGCATCTACCCTACTATTGAATGGGTAGTTTGTGAAAAGCAAAATGTCAAGTAATTCGCATTAACATCTATGAAGTTTGCCTTGGTGCGGTAAATTGTTACAATCTCTTTATCTTAGCGCTTATAATTTGTGCAATCATTGTGTAGTATTAGTTAGTTCTAATTCATTGTCTAGCCTGTGGTATTATGGTGAGTGTCTTAACACCTGTATAACAATTTGCCATCCCTTTCACTCTCTTTAACAATAACAGAGATAAGAACATGTTCTTATAGTACGACAAAGTTATGTGAGGCGGTGCTATCGTTGCTGGCTATCCCAAGGAGATAAACGGCAAAACGATCTTGACATTTTTTACCATGACAGGCGGCAAGTGGACTGTCACATTTTAGTTTGCCCACCGGGTCAGATTACTTTATCGGACTATATTTTCTTGTACAGGTGTTACGGCTCTCTGACAATCACGGTTACTCGAGAAAAATGCTCTGATGTGCCATTTTTCCGTCTATGTGATTTAAATAAGGGTAAACATTCATAAATAGTACATTTAGTAGAGAATTCACATAGATTTTTTTCAGCTGACCGTAGATTCCCACTGTAACATTCCTAATTTTCTAACAAAAAAATCTTTTATGTGTCGGCTTGAGCTAACACGATATCAAAATTACTATTACTTGAGAGCACACGTGGGCGGTCATTGGTAAAGTCGGATTCCAGGAATACATTCACAGTGCTTCTCAGTCAGGATATCATCGATCTACAAAGCTCTTATCGTTCAAACAATGTTCTCGCATCGATCCCTATTTTCAGAAGGATTTAAGTTCTCTAGCAAGTCGTTAGCGGCGCTCGTGTTCTAATTATGACTTAAATTCAAATTGATTTCTTTAGATTGTGACATATGGCAAACGAGCAAGCGACCACTTAAATTTGCCGACATCCGATAATGCAAATGCGTTGCCTGCTTTATATCCTAAAGCACCACGAACAAGAGGATATTTCCTCTTCCTATATGTCTCCTCCTCCGTAAAATCCATTTCCCCTTCCTACCCTTTCTTATAAATTGTAGAAGGTATAACTCCGGCACGTTGATTGTTGTTTATTAATGTTCGTGTTTCTAAGAGAATTGGAATGATAACATTTTTGTTTGTAATTAGACAGTGAAAGCCTACGGTCAGAATTACCAGTAAAGTATCAAAACTAGTTATAATTTACTACAAATAATGTTACCATGTATGTATTTCTAGTTCACTTTCGTAGACTATGGTGATTTTTTGTAATATCTATTAAGTTTTTGTTTTGTACAATTTCTAGTTTACGTAGTAGGTATTGAAATTATTCGGTGTTAGAGGGTATATTATTCTGTAAGGCCATCTATTTGTATAGTTTCACAAGATATAGTAGAAAATATTAGAATATCAGATATAACAAACCTTAGATCCCAATTTAACGCGATTTACCTACCTTATGAATAGTTATTGTGACTAAATATTTCCGGTGCTTTCGATGTTATTTTAACCGAACTTAACCATGTTTATCATAACTAATGCAGACAAAATATTAACCAATTAGCAATGCAAGACGATTGTACAAATTCGATCGTTATTTATGCGATTTGAATCAAGTAATTTTATTCCGTTAAATTCTTTACTAGATGAACCGTAAATTTTTTGTTCATTCTAAATTTTTCTCATGATTTTTACCTCGATGTTTTAATGAAAAATATTTTTTATTAGACAATCATAGGTCAATTATTTTATTAAATTTTAAAATATATTATATTGTAATAAATGAATTTATTTTACAATTTTTATACACTTTTTTGTATATAGGTAGCTGGACATCTTATTTATGTTTTGTAGAATTAACATGATAATAACTACAAATAAATGTCTGTTAAGGTACAAGTGTTTTAATTTTAAAGATCTATGAAGCAATTGAAAAAATCTATAATTTACAGCTAAATCATGTAGTTGTTTATAAATCGATGTCTCTTAGTGTTTCCCTTAATAGGTACAAAATAATCTTTAGTAGAGTTGGTTAAAGTCAAAATATTAAGGTTTGCAACCTTATGCCGACTCGATATAAGTGGGAAAATGTGAAATAAAAGGACATTAATTTATTCTTAGCACATTTACTGAGTACCAATCCAGTCTATCATTCTATATGTATACCATGGTTTTAATTTTTACATGATCTTCAATTATACAAAAGTTATTATGAAGTATCACCATTTAATACTGTTGCAATCAAAGTGAAGCGATCAGTCGAGTCCCTTAGTGTAGACTTAGAATCTCCACTAAGCAACTAAGTAATCCTAAACAAATCTGATTGCTGATGTTTATTTCACTTCATTGTTGTGTTGACAGATTACAAAATAAAAATCTATAACCCCGGCTTGACTATAACCCCTTTCTTGTATGACACAAATTTGACAGCTACCGTGTAGTGATTATTCCATTTGGTCGCCATATTTGTTGGTCGGGGCAGTCACGACGGGTTCGGGGGGCGGCTGTTTCGGTCTTGTTACCAGTGGGGCGGAGTTGGGATTCACCCTAATACAAAATATGCAATTTATACATAAAATTCAAACATTATGCACATCCACTGAAGAACAAAGACTACCCTAAGTTAATGGTGACTAGGCCTTAAATAATTAGCTCATGCGGGTTGACTTCACACATATTTTTGAATTTCTATAGATAAGTGCAGATATCATCATAATTTGTCTGGGACATATAGATTATGGTTAAATTTGAAAATAATAGGTGGTTCATGATCATGGATTATACAGACTCACTGGTGCCAGGTAGTGTTCATATTATGACAAATTCTGACATGAAATCAATAAATTGACTTCGAATTATAGAACTCTAGTGGCCATGTGTCAACCAAACATAATACTAGAGTGATTTTGGTATCACGAGATGATATTAGGCTTAGTTTCTTTCGATTGCTATAAGAATGTGACAAAATTTAAAGTTTAACTTACTTGTAAGGATCTTGCCTGGCGTCGGTGTATTCGCCGCGATTTTTACGTCGCAAGTCATCGTATGAGAGGGACGAACGAGGCGTAGCGCTCTCCGGAGGAGTTACAGGTGCTAAAGAACATTTTTTAACCTTAATGATTCTGATATAAGTATTAAACATTGAATATCTGTTTTGTTTCAAATAAAAAAAATTAAAAACTTTAAAAGTAATTATTAACAAACATAGCACTTAAACATTTATTTTCATGCACCCTACATTTCAATCTACTTTATTCAGCAATTATCAAAATTTACTAAGCTTAGTCCATTTAAAATAAGCAAGTTTTTAAAATTATACATTCTAGTAATAAAGCAAGATAAACTCAATGTTTTCTATTAATGTACAAATTATAGATTTTGTGATTACTTTAAATAAATGGTGTATCTGAAACATACTTTCAGTATAAGGACGATATGTGTTATCGCTGAACAGGGGACGGTCGATGTCTAGGTCGAGAGAGTTGCCGGGACCAGCATCAGAGTAGATGTCACTCGGATTTGCACCAAGCATCGATGTTGACTGATTTGATGGTGGTGGTGTTATTCTGACAAACAAATAAAGTATTTTTTAAACCCATTTTCCATAAAAATAATATTTATAGTAAGTACATATTGTGATGTTATTGTTTATTACAATCTTCAAAATCATACTTATATAATATTAATTTTAAGACATAAATCAAAGTTCATGATTATTAAAATTTACCCTGGTCTTCCATCACGCCTATCCCGCAGTATCTGTCCAATGTAACTACCAGGCAGAGCCATCAGTTTCTCAGCGCATGCCTGCTGGTACGACAGCTTGCCAATGAAGTAACCCATCACCACTGCCAGAGTCACCTTCGGGAATGCACCAAACCTCGGGTTCGGCCTCAAATTACCTGCATATAAAATAAATCTTTGGCTAAGCAGGAATTTTTAATAGCCTTAGTTAAAAAAAAAGTTGTGTTTAATGCTTTCTCAGCAACACTCAACTTAACACTTGATATATAAGCACCTGGGATCTACAGCGGAGAAATATTCTTATTTGGTAACATGGCCACCAAATCTCTATTCCACTAATAACTTGCTTAACACTCAAAAACAATGTACCATGTAAATACTGTAATTAATAGTAATATCTTCAGTGCTTTTATTTAACCAAAAACAAAGTTCCTATTTCATGTCCAAATGACAACAGCCATTTCACTAGTGAGAACCTTTCACCCATTATCTAATTAATTTAATATTTGACTATAAAACTATATGCTATTGCTTGAGACTTTGTTTTAATAGTATTAAATATTAACCTTTTCAATATTCCCTATTGCAAACCTTATTGAAAGCAAAAAATGTTAACCACATGAATGTTAGTGAACATGAGTAGGACTTAAATGAAATGTATTTTTTCGGTGATGTACTTACCATTTTGGACGGCCACATAAGTGCCGAGTCCTAACATGGTGCCAAGCGGCAGCGACCGCTTGAAGAAACTCTCGTTGTTGCATTCCGATATGACTTTCAGCTCTTCCGGCGAAAACTTATACTGCCCCTACCCAATAAATTACTGTTATTTTTCTCCATCCAGGGCCATTTCACAATAGATAAATAAATTAATCTTACCGGTGGCATCGGCGCCGCAGGTTTCAGCGTAGACTGATCATCACTATTTTCAAAACCAAATGATCTCGGATCGTTCATGGCAAAATTGTATCTAATACTAAATATTACTTAATCGTATTTTTCATAACCTACTGATAAACCGATTTCGACAATTCTTTCAAGTCCGCGCGATTGACAGTTTGACATATTCAAATGCCAAATGTGACATCCAGACATTTCATGCAGATTAAAAATTTGTATATTTGCATTTACAGACAGACATCAAAACTTTTAATTTGAAACATGTTTTATTTGTTTAGAGAAAATAATTATATATTCAGTATTTAACATTAACAACGGTTGTAGGACTAACTACGCCGTAGTAGATTATAGTTTGTCTAAATAAGATAATTTTGACAAATGAGGCATATGAAGTATCAAATTAAATTTATATGAAGGCAAATACCGTGCTTCATAGACAGATATCGTAGTGACAAAACAAACACGCATAGCGACCAATTGTGAACTATCGATATTCGGTTTAAATAAAATTTATCGAACTTAACTAGAATTATTATTTTCTTACTAACTAATTTATAGGATGATTCTAGTATTATTATAGTGTAGAGAATTTAGCGATGACAATAATTTATTTACTCTCATTGTTTGTAATGGTTCTGTAGGTCATTATTAATTTGAGAAAGCAGTGTTTTTTTAATTTCTAGGTTATAACTATGAATCTATCAATTCCAACTTCTAAAATAATAAAAATCAAAAAGATTCATGCTTGATTTGACACAACCTCATCCCTACTAAATTGTCAAACTAATTTTAATCTTATTTAGACAACCAGAAACACCAGCCCGAATTGTTATTTTAAATAAAAAGAAATAATTTAACCGATATCCATCCCTCAAGAGTTCATAACATAAAACAATGAATTAACTCATTTCGGGAACATATAGTTTAATAATTAAAAAGAACAAAAACATTGTTATAAATACAATTTAAAAGATGAATCATTTACTTTTTGTTTTTAAACTATTATACTATAAATTATATTACTTTTGATAATAAAACAAGATCTAAACTTTGTAATTAATCAAATGTAAAATAGCTAAAAGAATACAAAATAAGAATATCGTCTATAATAACGAATACAGGTTTTATGACTATAATGGATGGATCTGATAATTGTCCCTTTAATATTTTGGTTTTGTAGCACATACACGTTACACGCCATATTGTTTTTCTACGATTCTATATTATCGTAGTTTTTTGCCACTGAAAATTCGTTTAAAACAAATTGTACGTTTTTTAAGAGACAAATTTTATACGACTTTATTGGTAAATTAACCTACGATTAGTATTGGCGCCTGTTATTTGTATTAGTAGAAATACTACGATAAATGTTTGATGTGTCCTATGTACCTCAACGTTTCGCAGATTCCGAAGCTGCATGATGTTTCCGCATCACATTGCCCAGATAACTATTACCGGGCAAACTACGAAGTTTGGCATCACAACTCTTCATGTATGAAATTCGTCCCACCACATGACCAAATAGAATAGCTACCATTACCTTAGGCGCGACGCCGAAGTGCACACTTCTTTTCAGGTAGCCTAGAATAATAAAACATTCATAGAAGTAAGAACAATATTAAATAGATAATAAAAAAATATAACGGAGCAAACATTCTTACTTCCATGAAGTTCCACAGATTTACAAGCTACTGTAAATGATTAACCCTCACCATTGCGAATCGCAGCGTACGTTAGCGTCGCGAACAATGTACTGAAAGGCAGGCAACGTTGGTAGAAACTCTCCTTGTCGCAATCCTCCAAAGCTTTTATTTCTTCCTGTGTAAACTCATAGTAGCGCTGAAATTAACGGAATCATATAAATCCTGATAACTATTTGAGATTTGATTTTTGATAGACTAATCTCGGCCTATGAACTGAGTACCAATGTGAATTATAAAGATGTCATTACTGACTATTTTAGCAGCTGTAAAACCAAATTAAATTTACCAGGGGATGTGTGACGTTGTGTACCGGAGGGCACGTCTTTTTACTGTGTGACTCCGCATAGCAAGAGCAATCTTCCTCGTCTTGTTTTTCTTTTTTTCCCGTCCCACTCATAACGTTATCCTTCTTATTTCATTGTTGAGGTAAAACACGGATAACTATTATTTGCATAACATTATTATGGTTTATTGTATCACTGTGTAATATTTCATTGTCAATTTTGAAACATTTTTTTCTCGCTCAGTCAGAATTTTTTTCTTCTTTTCTAAACCAGTCATTTGTTTTAGGTCCAATATTATTTTTAATAAAAAGTTATTGATTAATAAAATCTTTTAATTTACGTTTTACGTTATTTGTAGTCGTCGTAGCTATCTATTAATAGGTCCGTAGGTTCTGAATATTCAGATAAAAAATTAATATACTGGCTTGGTTACACTTTTTTTTATAAAGTGTCTTTTTAGTTGTGACATCTATCTGTCAAATTCGTAGTCAAAGTCGATGAACCATGTCGAAAATTTTATTTTTATCGATTTTAAATTTTTTTCACACTGTATCATAATAATCTAACTTTTAGATTATTATATTGTACAATATTAATCATAACGTCGGTGAAGCAAAACGCAGAAAAACGCAGTAGCATAAGGAAAGGGAGAGGCGGGAGGGGGACTTCAATGGTGCTTGTTCTTTTGCCGGTACTGATTGGTGCAGCCGTGGTGGGCATAGCAAGCGGCGGTCAGTACGGCGACTACGCCGCAGCCAAGATGCCTCAATACGCCTCCGACGAGTACCATGACGCGGGGAGAGAAGTCGCTTCTTCTGGTGACGATTACCAAGATCGATCCCCCGATGTACCCGCATCTCCCGATTATAAGTATGAGGAAAATTTAAGTTTAAGAACGATGAATACAAGGAACGATGAAGATTGGCGAAAATCAACTAAAAAAATGCCCAGAGGTTTAAGATCTGATGTAAACTCGCCTATAAAACATCCAAACATACATAATCTAAATTTTAAAAATAATCAAAAATCTAAAACTGCCCGCCCTCGTTCAAAATCTAGGAAAACTGGTAGAAAATATGAATTAAATAGAAATCCTTTAAGGAGCGGTCGTATTAGAAGCAATGATATTATTGATAAAGAAGTCGATTATATAAGTGAAGACCGATATCGGGATCGCTTTGAAACTGATAAGACATCAGTAACGAGCGAAAGAATTGTGAGACGAAAGCCGAGAGATCGAGCTGTTAACAAACCTGAAGTTGAGATTGAAGATTTAGATGACGACGAAGAGGACGAAATTAAAAATGAACAGGAAGAAACAAAGAATTTAGAGTACCCGGCGTCAGTAGATTCAATTCTTCAAGAAAGGCTCGGTGAACAGTTCGAAGGAAGGGATGAAAACTTTCATATCCAGCGTCCAACGCCGTTACAGATCGAGGACGATATCCTTGGTCGACTAGATTCTAAGAAGGAGGACCAGAAAACTGCAGACGAATATCAGGACTATTACGATATGAAACGAGTTAAAAACATTAAGAAGAAAATTACTGTACTTTATCGACGAACCAAAGGTAAGAAATATTCATTCGAAATTATTACATATCAATGAACGTAACATTAAATTTTTTTCACATATACTTCTTAATGTTATATTATAACTGTTTGGACAGTCTAGCAATTTTTATCTAGACACCGTTTTTGCACTTGTTTGTTTAATTTTTATCATCGAAAGATTTCAATCAATAATAATTAATTTAAGGACTTTCATATCAATCAATCGCTTAGTGTTATTGAAGTGGGTTAATATTAAATAGTGATTAGACAGAAGTCTAACGATTGGCTTGTGTGTGCTCAGCGAGGGCGACGGGGTCAACCACGTCGCGTCGAGTGCGAGTGTGGACATACCGAAGCTCCTACGTTGACCGATACGCTACTCCCATAAATGAGGAAGTAATGTTTAGAGCCACCAGGATCAGAACTACTAAACGAAGGAAACCTACAGCAAGAACACTAAAAAAAACAGTCTCACCAAACAAGTTAACTCGTACAATGAAACCCGCTAAGACAACAAAAATCACCAAATCAACTACTCGTACACAACATACAGAAACCACTACGCATACAAATGCGACAATTAAAAAATCTGAACAATTAGTATACAATGCCAGTGAGTTATCGTTGGCGGAGAAATCTAGATTGTCGATACTAAAGAAGGCTCAGTTGAAAGATGGCGAAGTGGACAAGAGCATTACGGCCAAACCGCCAGTACTTATGCAAGTGACACAGAAGATGCAAACAATGGTGATGTTGGAGCCACAGAATAAAGGAGCTAATTTAGAATTGAAAGGAAAATTTGGTAACTTGGTCAGTGAAGATACACCAGAAAGGTTGGCTCGCGCTAAAAGGATAATGCGCCGTCGTTTAGTCTCTGGAGCTCGTAATATCCATGACCTCACCGACAACTGGGACGAGATGGTGTGTGACTACCTCGATATGGCCGAGCTTGATGGTACAACAACAAACCACCTCAACAAGCCTCTATTTCTGATTACCTTTTTATATTTCGTTTTTACTATTTTTTCTCTATTTTGATGTATTTTATACATATCTAATCAAGTTAAAGATCAGTCTTTGAATATACAATTAAAATATATCTTAATTTTTCTCTCACCTCCATTTTGAATGTTTTTGGTATCGCAACTATATTTTTTATCGTAACTTGAATGAAAAATAATATAATGAAGTAAGCACAGAACAACTTTAATATTATAACAAAAATTGCGAGACCCAAAAATTTTGAACAAACCACTTTTATCCTTTAATATTATCGAATGTAATTAGCGTTCTATCGATAATTTATTTTAACCTGATAATCTTATAGCAGTAATTTTATTTGTGGCGTTTATTATCTTAGGTCCAAATTTAAAAGAGAATATTAAATAAAAGTTAACGTGTGTTGACTGTGAGGCCTTGAATCAAATAATCAATTTACATCCTGTGATACAGTCTGGCCAAATTATTAGTAAAGTGGCGAAAATTGGAACTACAGGCGTCGTGTCTTATTGAAAAAAAGATTACACGTTGTCTGGCAATCAGCAATGTACTTATGTTATCGAATATCGTTAGCGGCGACATCCTTTCCTTTGTGAGGTTTTTTCTCTTTTTTTGTACCCCTATGTTGTTATTGTCTGGAAAATCAGGAGAAGCAAAATTCACGTGTGTTGCAAAACTATCGTTTCCATATTTTGCATTTAATAAAATTATAAAATTTGTTTTTTCTAGGTGATGGAACACCGCCTACTGTTAAATCCGCGCAAGTCGCTGAGCGGGAGCTCCGAGCGGTGTTAGGTGCTCACAGACAGCGTAAGGAAGTTACCGTCATATCGAACGGTCACATAGATTCAGAGTTAATGGTTACAAATGCTCCGACACATTCACCATCAGTTCCCACCTTCCCACCGAAAGTTGTCGATTCCCGTTTATCTAACGAATGGAATGACTTCGTTCTTCGCAATAACTCGACGAGATTACATTTTTCGATATATATTGTTTTTTTAGTTGTAATAATAAATCTATTACAAAGATATAATATTCACTTACTTGTCTACTATGTTAAAACTAGAGATGCCACAAACCATACTTTTCGTGGATGACTATTCTTGGTTACCATTAAGAATTTCTGATGGTATACCTAACAGCTCGAAATAAAAGCAAAAATTATCAATGACGGGAAAGGTCAATAATTTAATTCGTTGATATTGCAATAATTGTCTTGTTTTCAGTGAAATAAAATAAAAAAACTATAAATCACCAACACCATCTGTTGGCAGCATGGTAGTGTGAGTATTGCTCGTCAGAATGCGCTAGGTGTTGCGCTGCAGATTGATTGCAGGCGGCGATAGTGGCGCCGAGTCGTGCGGCGGCGAGTAGCGAACATACCGTTATATTTTATCATTTATTCGCCG